GTGCCCCCCCCCCCCCCGCATCCCCCTTCTGTTCTGAAATTTGATTTGTCCTTTTCATGTGTGTTCTTTTATTTTTTTAATTGGATCCTTTGGTATATATGGTTGTGACAATTTTCTTCTACTATTTGATCTGAGAAAGTGGGTCTGGCCCACGAAAGCTCATCACCTAATAAACCATCTTGTTAGTCTTTAAAGTGCTACATAGTCCTGTCTTTTGCTTCAGCTACACCAGACTAACATGGCTACATTTCTATCACTGTCTGCGTAGTTAGTGAGAGGCTGATTCGGCAAACACAGCCATGATTAATTTTTATTACGTGAGCGTCCCCATGAAGTACAGGTTCAGGTCAGGCCCATAGATTCTATGGTCATTACAATAGAGCCCAGGCTGTCCTCTAGTTCACTTCAGCAGAATAACGTTCTCTGAAACGTTCTCTGAATAACAATTCAAACTCAAAAGTTTGAAGTGTTAAATAAATCAGTGGCACAGTCTGGTTTCAATTCAGAAGTAAAGCACTCAGGACTACACAGTTCTGTGATTGCAATGGCCTGGAAAAATAAAAATTGGGGGGAAAATGGAAAAAAATAACGAGAGTAGTGCTAAAGCAGTCATGAAAATTTAGGCCTTCCTTCTGCCCTTTTGGGCCTGGTTCCCCCCGGGATGGCTGGGTCCAACAGTGATAAGAGCTAGGAAAATCAAGTATGAGACATTGCTCTGGGATCCCCTCTCCAACTCTGATGTGAATACATCAAATTGAGGTTCTTGCAGACAGTGAGATACATCATCACGATATCGTTTCACGAGGCATAAAGGATATGCAGAGGTGTGGAGCCCAGTGGCTCTGTCCCGCCAGGCCAGTCCACCCCTGCATTAGGGTGTGCCTAATGCAGACTAAGCAGGCACCGCACTGGGGACCACGGCTATACTGGAACAAGATACTATACTCCAAGAGGCTCTCAGGGACAGACCCATAGTCTCCTATCGACAATCACCTAACCTCAAGAAGATTCTTACCAACAACCACAGGACATACCACATTAATACCAACACTGGAACTTTCCCTTGCAACAAACCCCGTTGCCAACTTTGAACTTTGTCCACGTATTTACTCTGGTGACACCATCACTGGACCTCACCATGTCAGTTATATGATCAAGAACACATATTCCTCTTTATCCAGAAATATAATTTATGCCATAATTTATGCCAACAGTGTCCTTTTGCTGTGTATATTGGACAGACTTCTCAGACACTTTGCCAAAGAATTAATGCCCACAAATCAGACATCAGACATCTTCACAAACCAGTTGCTTTTCATTTCAGCCTATCTGGACATGGTCTTAATGACCCTACTACATAGAACTTACTTCAAAGTGACTTTAACACCAGATTACGGAGAGAAATTTCAGAAATTTCTTTCATGCTTAAATTTGACACTTTATGAATGAGCCTTAACAAAGATGCTAATTACCTTAATCATTACAAAGATAGCTTCCCACTTATCATCCCTGATTAGCCATTCATTGACTCAAATAGCTAATCCCTCCCTCCCTCCCCCAACCTTCTGTACTAAATCTGATTTGTCACTTTAATAATGTGTTCACTTTTTTCCTTGTATTCCTTTGGTATATATGGTCATGCCAATTCTCTTCCAGAATATGATCTGAGGAAGTGGGTCTGGTCCACAAAACTCATCACCTATTAAACCATCTTGATAGTCTTTAAAGTGCTACATAGTTTTTCCTTTTATTGTACTCTGAACTATGCCACTATAAATAGCAAACTTGCCTTCACTTGCCTTCATTTGCAAATTTAACACATTAAATCAAGGTTTGAACAGACATGAACAGGATGGGCTGCTACATTCCACAACCTAATGATATCAGAAGATTTGACACTACAGTACAATTAAATGATTGAGACTCTAATTGACAAGATTTTTTCCCCCTTTCCCTCATTATCTCCCCTCTTTTTCTGTTATTTATCTGGACCCCTTGCTCTATTTATCTGAAGAATTGGGTTGTGCCCACAAAAGCTCATGATACTGTTTACATTTTTGTTAGTCTCTAACTTGCTGCAGATCTATTCCTTGTTTTTTATATTGTGCAAATCACCTCTAAAATGTCAAGGTAGTGTTTACTTACTATTGTAGTATGGAGCTGTGAAGATATAGTTGTCATTATCCAAGCTTCGTTTATAGAAACTGAGTTCATAAGTTTCAGGATCTTCCATCCAATCCTCTCCTGCCCTATACATGGCAGAAAAAGAAAGTCATACAAAAAAGAAAATCTGTCAGATATTCATTTTAAGCTGCAGGACAGGGGTGTCTTTCCCCTCCCCCGTTATTGAAATGTCTTGATTGAAAAAAAACTCATGAGCTCCCATTATTATAAGGTTTCAGATACTGCATTCGTGCCTATCCTTCACAAAAGCCTGAGCTTTCAGCAACTTAAACTGGAAACCTTCATAGGGTAGAAACTGAGCTAAAGGGAATGCAATCGATGGCCCTAGAGAAAATCTCTGAGCCAACAGCAGGGGGCACCCTTGTGGCAACGGTTATAAAGAAAAATGGAAAAAATACAAATTTTTGGCTTTTAAAACTCAAAGAATCAGATGCTGGGAGAAAAATATATACTCCCAACACTGGATGGTTTCCTCCCTAAACTGAAAGGAGCTACAATATCCTTCAACTTGAGTGCTTCAAATGGATTCTGACCAATTCCTTTAGTCTCCGAGAATGCTAAACTGATTACATTTATCATACACTTTGAGAGGTTTTGCATTTCATTATTATCTTTTGGGACTACCAGTGTACTTGACATTTTCCAACGAAAAATGTCCCTGGTCTGTTGGGAGACGGGGAGCAAAGCCGCGGAGCACGCCCGCAGGGGGACAGCTCAAGCGTGCCCGGGCTGTCCTGCTGCGGGCGTGCTCCAAGGCTTTGCTCCCCGTCTCCCGACCAGCAGACCAGGGAGACGGGGAGCAGTTTTTCTCGCCCCAGAGGACGGGGGCGGCGGACCGTGGCGCATCTGGGCGTCCCGCCGCTCCCGTCCTCCGGGGCGAGAAAAGCCCCGTTCGTAACTGCGGATCCGACATAAGTCGGATCCGCGTAACTCGGGGACTGCCTGTATACAAAAACGGTGCAATTGAAAGACAATCTACACAGTAACATCTCTTATGATGTATGTATCCTTGAGGTTCCCAAAGAAAGTTCAGTTGTATACATAGCATTAAATGCTTGGATATTCCATTGATATGGCTTACAAGAAATATTTCCACATTCTGATATTATTTGAAAATATAGTGACCCTTACCTTTTAGGGTAAACCCTAGTGATTCCACCATCCGTAACTACAAATCGTGCAACAACTCCATTGCTAGGACAAAAAAGCCAAAGTTTAAATTAAAGCTAATTAGAACTATTACCAACATTCACAATAGCACCATTTGGCACATAATTATAAGAAAAATACATAAGCTTTCTAATGAACATTAAATACTGAAATATTCATCACACATTTTGTTTTTATTTTTGATTTTACTGTCTAATCATAAACTTTAATTTACCAGGCCTACGTAGTTAAAAAAGAACACTTACGGAGACTGCTTACTCCAATAATTCTGGACTAGTTCATCTGTAAGTCCTGCATCCAGCAAAACTCTAATGACCATATCAGCATTACCTAGAAAGAGAGACAACATAAGTCATCTGAAACCACATGACTTTGAGATCTGCAAATCTGTTCTCAAGATGAAACTATGAATTGCTTTATTCCAGCTACTTATTAATAAAACTATATAATATTTTAAAATATTGAGACTTACAAGAAAATATGCTAATTTAATCAAACTCTTTAAACCAAATTTTTTTCAAACTCAAGTGGCTAAAGTTAGACTACCAAATCACAATACAAAAGATAACTTTTTCAAACTTGTCTTTTTAAATCGGACATCTAAATCTATTTTCGGCAGCTTATTGTAAATGGCCCAAATGTCAGTGCTCACTGCTTCCATTGTGCATCCAGAACTCCCACTGAGGGCAACACTCCTATAAATCATCTTCCTAAATATAATGATGTTGTTTGAATGGTTCATTAAAGCTACTATTCAGAGTGGCCACTAGGGGGAACATTGTAAGTAAGCCCATAGGAAGTAAAATTGTATAAACAAGAAATACATAAAGTTCTGTATCTACCCTGACTAGTGACCATAATGCCCTGGATCTGTGTAATCTCCACATCTACATTTTAGGTGAGCTGGGCTATCTTTAGCGTTGCCTATATTGCATTATGTTCGACCACTCATAGACCAGAGTAATTATCCAGAAAAGATCCTAATTTTGTATTGAAAATGGGAGCTAAAACACTGGGAAGAGCACATTTTCATTCAAATAGCTGACATCTCAAACTTCTCCAATTTTTTTGTTTTATTTCTCCTCTGTAGGAAATTGTGCCGTGTCTTTCCTGACCTGAGAAAAGCTCATCTCTTTCACCAGCAGAACTTGGTTCAATAAAAGATACTACCTCACCCACCTCATCTAGCAATGCAAAAAAAAAAAAAAAAAAAAAAATTAACTACAGTATACATTGGACAGTTAAGACCTTTCTTTGTTTTTATTTTAAAAATGCAAAATGCATTTTTCTTCCCTTTTGTTAAAAACTGCAGTGATAATCAGGTTTTAAACAATTAGACTAGATGTCTTCTGTAGAAGCACTTAAAAAAATATCCAGAGATCAGTACTTCTCAGCTTTTCTATTTTGGGACCACTTTGTAACAGAAAGTTCTTTACAATACCCTAGTGTTTTAGGTAAATAATGTAGTACAACTGTGGGATATAAAACAATGGCTGAACTGAAGCCCAGTGTAATAAACAGAAAGATTCTCAGGCCCCCCAATGAGGCAGTGATATAATGGGGATTAGAATTTGGAGTCCTGACTCTCAATTTGAATTGTGCCAAACTCTGTGGGTTCATTTCAGAGGATCTTACAAACTTTTTTTAGGATATTGTTTCTCATGCCTCAAGTTTTGTTCTGAGCTTTGGATTCATATGAATTCAGAATGATACTTCGTCAAAACCACCTGAGCTTTTCTCAATTTCACATTGAAACTGTTAATTCTGTATCACTCTTATGTGAAATCAAAAATCAGTCAGCTTACTCAAAAGTTTTGTGAACATTTGCAAAAATGCTCTCAATAAAACAACTTTAATTATTGAATTTATAAGGACCCTTAGTACAAACATGTCACCCAATCAACTCCTAGGCCTTGCTATACCCAGCAGACAATACTGCTTCAATCCCATTTTAATGAATTACTTATATTCTAATTAGGACATATTTACATTATTCTGCTAAAGCCAGCCTGTTGTGTTACAATGACTCCAATTACTTGAGACTCATGGAAATAAATGTACAGAGCTGACTGCAGAAGCAAGAATGGTAAAACCCAAGTCATTTGACAGTGCCATATTAAGGTACATAACAAGGGAAAGGTATTTCTTTAAAAGTAACCCCATCAGCTGAAAATAAAAAGAAGAAATTAGGAATAATGCTAAATATTATCAGGGCTAGCTTTTGCAGCCCATAATGGTTCAAATTTCCACGGAAGTCAAATGGGAGTTTTGAATATGGATTCTTAGATCTGTCCCTAAACATTTAGCTGTAAACGATAATGAAAATTAAAGCTATACTCTGCATAAGGATTAGATAACTGTACATATGATAGTAGTTGCTCCTTTTTAAAGACTTTTTTTTAAAGGATAATCTCCCAGAAGGATAATAAGACATTACTTTAGTCAACTCCACTATCTCAATAATTCAGGAAAGTACTTGTTTAAGTTATGGTTATGAAAAAAACAATTAGGAAAATAAATTCAAATATAATTGTGAATTGAAACCTGAGAGCTGGCAGTAATTTGACTATGTGCTGTATGGTTTAATTACTCTCTAAGTCCTAGTGTGTACCATGCTGACACTAATGTGTCCTCAATACTCAATTACATATAATGTAGGCTATTAGCTTAGAGTTTTCATAAATTAAAATTTCTTTCTGGATAAAGTCGTTTGAGATGAATAATCTCACTTTGAAGACTGACTCAGGGGACACACTTAAAGTTACAGTCATACATTGTACACCATAATACATCATCAGATAAGATAAATGCATGGACAAATAAGAAAATAAATTAGTCCTAAAGCTAGTTACACATGGTGACACTGTGAGAGCAGTTCATATCTTGATTCAGATTATTCCAACGAGGTGGTCTAACAAAATAAATATTTTTTCCTTCAGTTCCTTTTGGGCGAAAACTAGCCCATGGTAGTGCTTAGAAACTGATATCTCCTCTGCTTTCATAATAATTGATCCCAGATAGGGATAGATCACAAGAGCTATATTTTTCCCTCCATGACTCTCTAAAACCTCTAGCAATGCTAACAGGAACTAGCCATTAAATTCTTCAAGAAACTTTCATAAATCAGCAATGTTTAACTGAAGTCTTTGATAACAGATAGATATAGTGGATGCACTTTTTAAGTTCATTCAAATTTTAGAACTACTACCATTTACAACAATATTTCCATATTTACAATGGGGAATACCACTGGCAATATATCCCAAATAGGAATGAACTAGTTAAGTGTACCTATTGTAAGACTAAGCGTCTTATATTAAAGTATTGGTTATTCCGGAAATGTAAAAATGACATGCTATTATTTTTCAGAGGTTTCCTTTTTATAGTGAGTAATATTGTGAAAAAGTCACTTTTCTGCGTTTAGTGACAAAAAGTATTTTTCCTGCTTTTTCCTGTTGAGCAAACAAAGCTAAGGCTGGGTTCTGAATTCTATTCCATCGCATGCATCTAGACATGATTGTTTTTGTTTTAAATTCCAATCAGTCAGTAAATCTACTGAAGACAATGTTTCTGCATGGGTGAAACTTGGTGCATGATTTGAAAAGAAAAATATTACCTAGATATAACTGGACCTAATTTGGTCTACAGGATCTTTATTATTGGTGATGATGCACAAGCTGGAAAGAATCGAGGTGGACTCTAAAAAGTCTAGGTGGAATTTGATGAGGTGACGAAAAGAAAAATGCCTTTTTTACTTGGGAACTGATATAGCTGTCTAATATTTACTGTGGAAGTCAGCAAATATTAGACAAAAATCAAAGATTCTTTTTCTTTTAAATTCTGCCTGTGTCATTGTGTTGGCTGAAAAAAAAAATGTGAACCAGAAACAGGGAGGGAATGTAGAAGGAAACTGACTGGCATTTTGTTTGCTTTTGGAAAACAGTCTATGGAGGGAACTTTGTAAATTGTGGAATACATTTTGCTTCATATTATTTAGGGAGATATATTGATGGTCACAGCAATCTGCAAACCAAACTTACAAACACTCTCTTGGACATAAATAAAAACTCTGATAAATTCAATGCCCTTAACGGTATGTAATTATATTAAACAAATAAATAAAGAAAAAAAAACAAATCTTAAAACACTAGCATAGAGAAAGCTATTATATTGAAGCATTATTCATATTTGTAGAGCTCTGTATGAAATTTTAGTGAATTGAACAGAATACTTACATGAAGAGCTGTTTGGAGTATTTTTATCAATAAAGTCAATGAATTTTAAAAGAAATTCAGTGTTGTTGTCTGATACTTTTACATCATTACAGTATTCTCTGAAAAACAATAAAACATCAATTTGGTTAGATTTGTTTCAGATGCGACAAGGGCCGATAAGTGGCGGCTTGTATTTCCTGCAGGTTGGGTAGTGACCTGCGGGCATTCAGCTCAGTGGTAGTGTATTATAAAAGACAATGCAATGCAACTCTGCAAAATCCCATTGATCCTCATTGCAGAATTCAATAGGAAGAGGCTAGGGATGTTAGATACTGACTAATTTAATAACTGTGTAACCGCATCAAAACTTAGTGGTTACACAGATATTTGATAGTCCCTGGGAGCCTCCTTCCAGCCTCAGTTTCAGCTCAGGCTCCTCATGGACAGGGGCTGCTGCTGCCCCATGCTGCTGCCTCTGTACCAGAAGCAGCAGTGTGTGGTGGTGGGTGGAAGCTGGTCTGCAGATGCAATATAGAGATAGGAGTGTGGGGCGGCAGCAGCTGCCCCTCCCCGCCTCCATCCCATGAACAGAGGCAATTAAAATATTCCACGGAACAACATCTGTCCGTGGAGAGCCTGGGCCCAACGTGGACAGAGGCTGCCCCACGGCAGCCTCTCCTCTTCCTCCGCCCCCACGCTGCTGCCTCTGCAGTTGCACAGGGTGAGGGCAGGTAGCTCCACGGAGCTTGTGCTCATGGGGAGCTGGCTCTTTTAAGCCTGCTCCCCTGAGCAACGGCTCCTGCCTGCCTTCCCACACCCCGCTGCCTTGTGAGAGGCAGCAAGGGACAGGGATTCAGGTGGCTTTGTGGCAGCAACATGCATGAAGAGCTGGCTTACAAGTCAGCTCCTCACATGTATGAGCTCCTGCCTGCCCTCCTCTTCTCCACCCCTCCTCCCGCCGTGCTGATGCCTCTGACAGAAAGGAAGCAGCTTGGGGGCAGGTGGCTTGGGAGACAATACACATGGGAAGTTGGCTTGAAAGTTGGCTTTCTGCGTATACTGGCTCCCAGCTGCCCACCTCACTCTCTGTGCTGCTGTCTCTGTATCTGTGTGGACTTTAAGAAGAGAATTAGCCAGCAAATGGGATTAAATGGATTACTTTCAAATGAAAATATTCACCAGATTTTCCAGAGCAGAGTAAATGATGAACAGAAGATAGGCGTTGAATAATTAGCAGTAATATATGGAAGTATCTCATTTTCAAAATACAATTTATATGCCACACAAAGGAAGAAAAATGGTTCAAGCATTAACTTAGAACAGGACTACTCAACATGCGGCCCGTGCTGCAATCTGGGTTTATATAGGGCTCAACACGCGGCCCGTGGGTGGGATCATTTGAACATGTCCTCCACTGGGAACACGTTCCACAATAGCAAGGCATCTCCCAGGTGGGGTGAGCACGGAAAGATGCAAGAGGACTAGCTGGCTGGAACAGATGGGTACAGGGCCTCGATGTTTCTAGCCCCCCGGGGAGAAGGTGCTAGGAGCACTGGGGCATTGTGTGAAAGAAGCTATTTGCATATATTTGCATATATATTTGCATGTATATGCAACCACACTTAAGTTGCAGCCCTTGGCATGTACTATAAGTGTTACTGTAGCCCTCTGGGGCTTCCAAGATTGAGCAGCTCTACTTTAGAAAGAAGCCACCTTCTTCCCATTCACTTATGACACACTGGACCAAAGAGAACTCAGAATTTAGACCTCCCCCCCGTCCCACAGTCAGCACTTTAATAGGGTTCTGTGTCTGGTTCTACCCAGACAGATTATAAGAATTCATTAACAATGCTACAGTCCATTATGAATGCCTCTGCCTCTGTCAAGAAAATTAAATGCTCCTGATCAGCTTTAGATTGTTTTGATTTTTGTGGAGGTGCCCAGCTAAACAAAAAAACCTAAACAATTTGCTTTGCATTTGTTTTTTCAGTCAGAATATTTTTACTGTCTTACAAAAGCTTGAGCTTTTGAGCTAGAATGAGCTTGAATCATTCAAGACTGATTGTGAATATGCAATTTATCAATTACTTAGCACCACTATATCTTTAAGATACTCTTTGCTTCTGTCAGCATTTATATTAATATGTCTGAGATGCACAAATGCAATGGACTAAGAAATCTATATCCCCTGGGAAAACCCAGGGAATAATGCATTTATTGGATCAGATTCATCTAGGGCTGCCTACTCTGACTGAAGCTATTCTGGAAGATTTTGTTTGCAACATGATGTAATGTCATTTTCTTAAAATATCCTACTAAGATTGCTTTCAATAGTCACTGGGAGATTAAAACTGATCCTGGGATACTCCAGGCTAGTCCTGGAGGATTGGCAACCTTAAATTCATTCCTATTGTAACTCCACAGAAGTCAGTGGCGTTACAACCAATAATTGTTATTGTAGTTCTTTTGGAAATACTTTTCATCCTTAAACCTCAATAATTTTGCAAAAGAAATAAGAATTATTATAAGTATTATATTTTACTTATTATAAAGGAGGTAACCTTGAGGCATGGATGGGCTAAACTAGGTTGTCAAATATTATCTAGACCCAGGAATATAATTAAGAACTCCTGAGTCCCACTGTATTCACTAGAAGACCACAGTGAGTGAAAGAAAGAAAGAAAGAAAGAAAGAAAGAAAGAAAGAAAGAAAGAAAGAAAGAAAGAAAGAAAGAAAGAAAGAAAGAAAGAAAGAAAGAAAGAAAGAAAGAAAGAAAGAAAGAAAGAAAGAAAGAAAGAAAGAAAGAACGAACTTAGTGGGAGGTACTGATTTTTTTCTTTAATCTTTCCAAATACTATAACGCTGCAGTGTATGGAATATGATATGATAAATTACAAGACAAACTAGCCTGAGAAGGTTCTATCCATATTCTTGTAATAAAAATGTTATATGAACTTGGAAAATGAGTTTAGCCATTGCTCTTATACTTAACAATTTTCCCCAGCACATCTTGTGTGCCAAATTAAGTTTTACTGGGCAAATCCATGGTTCATAAATGCCACTAACTTGACCAAGACTTCTTATTTACTGCTGGGTATAATGATTAGAACTGAGAAATTGACCAACCTTGGTGCTAGAAAGGTATAGCCAGCTTCATCAAAGTGATCAATCTTTAGAGTTGCTGAATCTATAAAGATGAAGGTTGAATATTAGGTAAGGAAACAGGATTTTGTAAAATTCCTTGGATAATTTCTGCATGCATCTGTGAATTTTAAAAAATGTAATCTCTAAAGAACGTTTTTCTAACTAATGTGCACTCTCATTATCAGTGTACCACATAGCAGAAAGAAATGAAGTGATTATTATACAGCAACAGACCAAGCAATAACAAAACAATTGAAGCAAGTTGAGACTGAGTCATTGTTTCATTAGCATGACAATATGATAATTCACAGTATATGTGACATTTCTATTAGCATTACAATGTGTTCATTCAAAATACGTGCTATGTTTAGGACTGAAAACATCAAGAAAAACATTAATGTGTAATATTTGCATCAATAAAGTTATAAAGCATCATTTTTACAATCTTATTTAAAAAGTGGCCTTAAAAAAAAAAGGAATGACATATCTGAGCGTCAGCATGAACCAACAGGTGATAGGATCCGACAAATAGGGATTAGTGATTAGTGACAAATTGAAATGTGCATGAAAATACAAAAGCATTTTCTAGATTCCCCCCCTTTCTGTTGCTATGGTACCCAATGATCATGGGAGAAGTCCAGAAATGAAGAATACAAAGGAGAATGTCCAGTAGGAATGGAAATATAAGTGGAAAATATCAACTGCAGTATACAGAAGGAAATTGAGCAACAAGAATATACTTGCAATTTTTGTCTGTGAAATTCCATCAGAAAGAGAAAGCAGGGAAACAGAAAAAACAGGGTAAAACCAAAAGGGGTCACAATCAATATTTTATTCAATCACCCCTTGAATAAAAATATTGTGAATAGATCATAGGTTAAATTTATGCACAGCTATAGTCTGGGAAAAAAGACAAACAACTCTAAATACTGGAGTGTATGTACTTGTCTATTATTCTGAAGTAACCTCTATATATACTGTGGCTATTTCAAGGATCTATTTTGTAAGGTATATTGATACCAATCCAATATCAATATATCTACTCCACACACCGAACTAATTTTTATTCATTAAAACTTTAATCACTAGACCCTATTTGATCAACTGAAAAAATACACCATAAAAATGACTACTTGGTAAAAGCATATCATGTTGAATCTCTGAACAAGCATGTGAGGATACATAGCATGGTTGTCAAGGAAACAACTTCTAACCAAGTCTTCTCTGGGGTAATAGGGAACTATGATTGATAATGAGACTAGTAATGAGAGTGGAAAATGCTTTGTCTTTGTAACTAAGTTTTATATAGATATATTTCTAAATACAAAAACTGAAATTGAGGTTGTATTAATACTTCAATAAAGTTAAAAGAATATGATGACTCACACTTCATTTACTCACCCAACTATGGTCAAACAAAACAAACAAAAGTGTTATAGCTGGAAATGCATCATACATGGTATTTCCAGTTAGTTTTCTACAATCTGGAAGTGGCTTAAAAAGACTGTCATTCAAACAAGATACTACAGACATTCACTGAAACTATTTACAAAGCAACATAAAAGCTAAACTATAAGATAAAACAAAATAGTCCCTAATATTACTTTATTTATAAGAGCAGCACGATAAATTGCTATGTCCAATACTGTTAATATTGCACACTATGAGAAGCTTTGCTCTATATGTTATTACCAGGTGGGATATTTAAATGTCAGCTAACAGACCCCTTAAAACAACACCAACAGAGGATACACAAAGCAATGATTCTATAGGTACATAGCAAAGGGAAAGGATCTGTCAGTGAAGTTGGGGGTACCTGCACATATTCTAGCTATGTAGAATATTTCTTGTACCTTGGATGTTTACAATGGGTTAGAATCATTGCTGTAGATTTGGGGTACATTATGATAACGTTAGGGAACTCCGCATGCTTTAGGAATTTCAAAATTATTTTTTTAAAACATCAGTGTGTCAGAAGTATGTCAGAACCCAGAGAACCTTCATAAGTACTTACATTTGGCCTGAATCATTATTTCTTCTATTTTGGCTTTTATATAGTAAAAGCTGTAGGATGGTAATACCAAGGCCAAACTGCAATAGAAATAACGAAGGCATAAACAAAGAAATATACATGTAGTTGGGTGGAGAACCCTTATAAGTTTTAAAGTAGTTTCCTATAGTCTGCTTCAAAGTGTTTTTGAAAACAATTGACATGTTAGGGATGAAATTTATTGTGAGAATATATTATTTTATTTGATTATTACAGACAGCCCTATACTGCCATAGTGCTAACTTTAGGCACCTACATGAGATTGAAATTAACTTCACATAAAAAGGGGCCTGAAATGAAGAGGGAGACATTCCAAAATCTGCACCAATCCTAAAATTCACGGGCCAGTCACAATTTTTATGGATATATCCACTGAAAGTGAGGGTTTAAGAAAATCTGAAAAAAAACCCCATAAATAATCCTGAATTGCTATGAAAAGAGAATGATGATGATGGAAACCCCTTTTAGTAAAAAGACAGCTATTGATGTTTAATGCAAAAACTTGTATGATTTGAATTTACATTATCTCTGTGAGAGAGACTATCATCTTCAAGTGATATAGTCACTTCTGGATAAAATAATGTTTTGAACTTGACTATATAAGAGTTTCTTAAGATATACAATATATTTTATAATTCACCTTCTTTGAGTTATATATCTAATTTTGTTTAAAAATTATTCTGACTTTTGGCTTTGCAACTAAAAATCAATACATGTATCTGGGAGTAGAACTTTTAAAAATGGATGTTAAAGGCGATGGGTAAAAATTCCTATCAGAGATGCATCTTCTTTCATCCTTAATGTTTGCATCCAATTTTCATTAGCATAAAATTGCATTTTACCACTGATTTGTAATAGATGGTGGTAGAAATTAACATTAAAACAGGTTTTACAAAAAAGATGATGACCTTTAATAATGCATTTGCCATTTAAACATCACAGAAGTGAGATTGCTGATTATTTAGTGATAGTCTTCTCCCAATTCCCCTCGAGGGAAATCAGGTGAAGTTTACCTGCCATTAACAGTTATTGCTAACAGAAACTACTAATTAAAATCTATAATTTTATGCTTAATGGGACTGCTGCAATGTGACTCAGGAGATTATCTGATGTCTCTCAGCTTATGAAAAACAACTATAAGGGGAGTTAGGTAAGAACTAAGAACTCAGATAAGTCAAATACACATCAGTACGGCTTACCAGATAGCATAAGAGGATGCAAAAAACCCTGCTTTCCCTCAGAAAATAAAAATGAGGGTACAACAGAAAAACTAAATTCAGAATTGCGTAAATCAAGATTTTTGTTTTACATCACAACAAGCAGGTTTGGGGGGCTGTTTTTTTTCCTAAGGGTGTGTCTACATAGCAGGACTTAACCTGAAATAAGCTATGCAAATTGAGTTACATCAATTAGCTTATTTCGAAATAACTTATTTAGAAATTGAGAGCATTTACATAGCACTTATTTAGAAACAGAGCACTTTTCCTTTGACTTCCCTTATTCCTTGTACAATGAAGGTTTCAAGATCCGGAGTAAGAAGTCCTCCAGCTTGACAGTATTTCAACATTATTTTTAAATAACTGCCTGCTGTAGATGACGACAATATATTCTAGTCAGAGACTGTTGTTCACTATATGTTTGCACCGTGCCAACTATCCCAACTTTGTAGATGGCTCTAGTTATCACACTAATGAATATTTTGGGTAAAACTGCCAATATTACAGTTTTTTTATTAAAATTAAATAATCCTGTCAGTGTTGTTTCCAGTTTCACACTATGTACACCAAACAATGTGCTGATAGTGATTCTCATTTGTGATTCTTTGTCCAATCCTGAAAGGTTCTGAGTGCCTTAACTTGGACATTCACAACTTCATAGAACTTGGGCACAGTGTTTGTAATGTTAAAAGCTATTTAGCTTTGAAACTAAACTTTCTGAGATCAACTGTAGCCCAAATACTTTAGGAAGGGGATGTCAAGATATCACATCTCTTCCAATGTCACAGTGCTGAGTAGCTCTATTGTTTGAAATCATGATGATCTCAGAAATTTTTTGAGTGATGTAAACCTTTTCCAAAGAGTGTTATCTTTCTTTGATGTTATCTACTGCTATATGATTTAATACACATAATATAATTGTTATTTAATATTTGTATATGGCATCATAAGTGCACATTAGAGTTATAATACCACAGTTCTTGCCTGACAAGATCTGACACAGTAGGCTTTATATGTTAAACGACTGCACATTTTAGAAAGAAATCAAAACTAATGTGAATAGCCATTTAATAAGAGAAAGTAAAAACAAAAACAACAAAAAAAACCCCAGCAACCAAAAAACCCCAAGTATCTGGAGAAAAACAGAATGAATGTATTAAAGCCAAAAACATATTAGCATAGGAAAAAATGTTCTAGATGATGAAGGAGGCACCTACCTACCCAATGCCCAGTGCATGTTTGAACCTGGCATATCTGAAATAAAACAGAATCATTTCACAAAAAATTGTAAGCAGAGAAATTTTGGGGGGAAAACCTGGAAAAATATACATTTAGTTCATAATTCAAAAGTTTCAGAAAAAGACAGTAAGGAATACAGAGCTGACATTGCAGATGAAGAAAATTTGTTTCTGGGTAATTTAAAACAAAGCCACTCTGTGAATTATAAGGAGGATTGGACAGTTACTTGTGGAACATTTTTTTGTAAGTATGGGTATGTCTACACTACCCCGCTAGTTCGAACTAGCGGGGTAGTGTAGACATACCCATAGATATTACAAATAATGAACATAAAATTGTGAAGGAGGTATACTCAAAATAAGGTTGTGATTCTGTTCATTTTAGAAAGGCATGAAATATTAGACCTTTCTGTTTATTATTAATTTTAAAAAAATTACTTGCAAAAGTCAGTGTGAAAATGGAAATTATTTTTGGAAAGACTTCAAGAAAAGGTGGGATTAAAGGGGGGTTTGAAGGAGAAGACCACAACTAAAGACACAGTCACAAATCAGACACTACAAAGATTGTAAAAACACTGATGAATTTATGAGATCCCTGAAAAGATAAGTTTCACTTACAAATGATATTACTGATCATACAAACTTCTTGGTATATATAAAAATGAGTAGTTCTGTAGCACCTTAGGGTATGTTTACACAGCAGCATTATTTCAGAATAACACATTATTCCAAAATAACTATGCGAGCATCTACACAGCTCGCCCATTATTTCGAAATAATTTCAAAATAATGGGTGGCTTACTTCAGTGTTTGTAAACATCATTTCATGAAGAATAACACCTCTAGTAAAATAGGTATTTTGGAAAAGCAGTAGTGTGGATACTCCACGGCTGTTATTTCAAAATAGCTCCTTCTCCAGGCCATTCAAAGTAATTATTCCTCAGTGCTTCCTAGGGCTCTAAATTGAGGCCGCACATCCACATTAGGGGAGCCTGCCTCAGACTACTTTCCACGCTTCCCTGTAATATAGAAGCACTATTTCGAAAAAAGCTATTTCGGAGTATTTCTTCTGGAACAGCTTACTCCAAAATATTCATGTAGTGTAGACATAACCTTAGAGACTAACAAAAATATATAGAATCATGAGCCTTCATGGGTAAAACTCGTTTAACACCATTTCTCCTCATACTTTATGCATAGAGGTAGGGGGGTGGGTGACAGAATATCTCTCCCCCACCCCCTTTCCTTCTATTTATTTCGAGTTTCCTTATCCTCTAATCATAACTCCAGTCATCTGAAGAAGTGGGCTGTGCTCACGAAAGCTCATGATACCATCTACATGTTTTGTTAGTCTATAAAGTGCTATCAGACCATTTGCTTGCTTTTCCTGTAACAGACTAACTCGGCTACCCCCCTAAGCTCGGATGAATTGGAGTATAAATAACAGAAATCAAGAAAAATACATATAGCAGCAGAGGAAGGACCTCTCAGCTGTAGGATCTGTGTTTATGTGCTAATTAAATGGGCTGGAGTGTCCCATTCATATGTAGATGAAGATGTTAAAGGCAGTAGAAATTGGCTTTGTAATGCACCAACCAGTTAATCTACCTCTGCAACCTACCCCTACAACAAACCCTGTTGCCAACTCTGTCTGCATATCCAAGCAAGAGACACTATCACAAAACCTAACCACATAAGCCACAATATGTGGAGTTCATACAACCACACACCCCTTAATGTGATATATGCCATATAAATTGCCCCTTTACCAGGTATATTGGAAAAACCGGACGGTTTCTATGACAAAGGATAAATGGACACAAAATAGACATGAGAAATGGTAACACACATAAACCTATACGGGAACATTTTAACCCGCCTGGTTATTCAGTCATAGATTTAAAAGTAGCCATTCTTCTACAAAGGAATCTCACTAACGTGTGACCGAGTCTGTAGGACTAGAATTTATCTACAAATTTGATATGCTTACTTTGGGCTTGAATAAAGACATTAATTGGTTGGCACATGACAACGTCTGTCATCCGGCAGGACCACAAATGCTCCTGGATCAGAGAGCTTGGGAGCTTAAGGGCAGGAAGGCCAGCCGGGACAACAGGATCAGCAGCCCGGCTGGGGGCAGTGTGAGACTGGAGTCATGGCCCTGCAGTAGCCCCCAGCAGCCCATGTCAGTGCGGTGCCATGCAAGAATCCCTCAGCAGCACAAATCAGCACTGGGCTGGAGCCCCCAGAAAACCCAGAGCTCTATAGCCGCCAGGAGTTCGGGCTGAGGACAGGGTCCTGTGAAAGTGTGGGGCCAGAATCACAGAGCTAGAAGAGACCTCAGGAGGTCATCTAGTCCAGCCCCGTGCTCAAGGCAGGACCAATCCTGACTAAATCAACTCAGCCAGGGCTTTGTCAAGCCGAGACTTAAAAATCTTTAGGGAATGGAGATTCCACCACTTCCCTAGGCAACCCATTCCAGTTCTTCACCATCCTCCTAGTGAAATAGTTTTTCTTAATATCCAACTTAGACCTCTTCCACTGTAACTTGAGACCACTGCTCCTTGTTCTGCCATCCATCACTACTGTGAACAGCCTTTCTCCAGCCTCTTTGGAACCTCCCTTCAGGAAGTTAAAGGCTGCTATCAAATCCCCCCTCACTCTTCTCTTCTGCAGACTAAACAAACCCAAATTCCTCACCTCTCCTCACAGGACATATGCTCCAGCTCCTTAATCATTTTGGTCACCCTCCGCTGGACCCTCTCCAATGCGTCCACATCATTGCTGTAGTTGGGGGCCCAGAATTGGACACAATACTCCAGATGTGGCCTCACCAGAGCCGAATAAAAGGGAATAATCACTTCTCAGGATCTGCTGGCAATACTCCTCCTAATGCACCCTAATATCCCATTAGCCTTCTTGGCTACAGGGGCACACTGTTGACTCATATCCAGCTTCTTGTCCATTGTAATCCCCAGCTCCTTTTCTGCAGAACTGCTGCTTAGCCATTCGTCCCCAGCCTGTAACAATGCTTGGGATTCTTCCGTCCCAAGTGCAGGACTCTACACTTGTCCTTGTTGAACCTCATCAGATTTCTTTTGGCATAATCCTCCAATTGGTCATTCTGGACCCTATCCCGGCCCTCCAGCATGTCTACCTCTCCCCCTAGTTTAGTGTCATCTGAAAACTTGCTGAGGGTGCAATCCATCCCCTCAATCCTCTGGCAGCTTCCTGGAATGCGGAGCTGGAGCCCCGTAGTAGTTCCCTGAGTGCGGAGCTGGGGTACCATGACAGCCCCACGGAGTGTAGGGTTGGAGTTGAATTCCACGGCAGTATGGGGCTGGATCCTCGGGGAAGCCCATTGGAGCACAGGGCCAGGGCTGGAACCCTGAAGAAGCCCCCTAGAGCTTGGGGTTGAGGCCGGAGTCTCATAGCTGCCCCTGGATGCACGGGGCTAGAGCACCGTGTCAGGAGTTGGAGCCTTTGCTTGCCAGGGAGCTGGCAGCAGCTAGGCAAGCAACCCAGCCAGGTACGGTGGAGGGTGGAGGCGAGGCCAGGTGCCTGCTGAGGCAGCCTTGGGAGCCAATTGCAGAAGACCGCCCCTGGTCCGGTAAATTGTCTTGTTTGAGACCAGTGCCGGAACAAGGAGGTTCAACCTGTGTATATATATATATTTCTGTTATTTCCACTCCAATTTGTATGTGTGTGTATGGAAATAACACACACACACACACATATATATATATATATATATACACACACACACACACACACACACACACACACACACCTGTTTCTGTTATTTATACCCCAATCCATCTGATGAAGTGGGTTTTACCCACGAAAACTTATGATTCTATATATTATTGTTAGTGTCCAAGGTGCCACAGGACTATTCGTTTTTAAAATAATAGACTAACACAGCTACTTCTCTGAGATTTAGTGAAACTTTGCTGAGAATTACTAAAACTTTGCTAGTAGGTGTGTTGCTTAGAAAGCTCCATGAACGATTGAGAGCCTAACCATGTATGCTTCCTTCAGCAAAACACTCATCATGGGCAATGGGAGATTTTTGTTTTTGTTTTTGTTTTTTGTTTTTGAAAGCTCTGAAGTCCTACCCCATTAGGTGGTGAGCAGAGAAAAATTTTCAAGTTATATGCACTACACTAGTATTTATTTCTCCATTTTTTGTAGAGAGCTAGTTCTTAGGCTTTTTAATATTATATATCATATGAATAAAATTATTCACTAAAACAAACAAGCCAATACCTCCCATTACAAAACAGAAACAAGCAACGACATTTAATTACCTGTAATCTGTGCCATTCACTGCAGTCCATGTATACGTTCGGTTTCCTTTATCAATATACCTCTGGAAAGCAATTTTGACAAACAAGTATATCATTGCCACTGGAGGCTCAGTAAATAATAGGTTTTGATTTATTATTGAGGAGAAAAGAATGTAAAACTCAATAACAAACAAGTAGTTGGAATTCTTTTGCTCTTTTCAGTAAAATGTGTGGTGCTTTGCAGTTGCGTTTCTTCAACAATTTCTAGATTTAGAACAGAAGTTACAGAATCATCTGCATTCTTTAAATCTAATAAAGAATTTTAGAAGTGCAGTGTGACGGTTAACTATCCATAGTTACTCTTTGTGTCTATATGTCAGATTACTTCTTTTTCTTATTACTTTTTTACTGTTAATTTAAAATACTGGAAAGGGTTCCTCCCACACAGGAGTGGCCCAGTGGTCATGTACCTAAACACACACACACAGCAGGAAAGCACTTAAAAGCAACCCTATAACAATATATCACTATGCCTGATTATACTCCTATACTAATGTCTGGATGTCTGTATCTCTGGGACATTATCTTAAAATATACACTCTAGCCCTACACACACTTTATGTACAAAAAGATCCATTAAAGTAAACAGGAGAACTAAACTGTGTAAAGTTAAGCTTGATCATAAGTGTTCTCAAGAAGTATGAGATTAAGGTTAGCTTTTCAATTCACTTGCTCCTGGAATGAAAGATGACACAACAGACAAGTTTAAAAGGTCCCCTGACTCCCTGTAGAAGATTTAATCATCATTAATGCACCCCACTGGAGCCGTTTTACTCATTTTTCCACATTAAAATTATAAGTATATGCCAGCTGTAGCATATTACTGCTTTATAGTCAGAGACAAAGATTTATGGGGATGTCTGCAATAAAATCTATGCAGCTGCTGCATCACGACATTACTAATACTATTCAAATGTTACAGTAGATGTCTAAGTTATTTCTGTCCCTGTGCAAAAATAAAAACACAAAAATTAACATGATTATGAAAAGGTGGTTTTGATTCTTTTCTGACTTTTATAAGTTGAATAAAATTTCTCTTCCCTTATTACTTCTCAGCACAGCAGGACAGGTATAAACAATCTAAAAGCCATTTAGAAAGAAAGTGTTTGGAATAATGTGCAAAGCTATGAAATATTGTTTATTTAAGACTTGTAGATGGGAGGATTTATTCAGCACAAAATTTATGCATGTTTATTGACCTAGTAGTGCTGATAATCACACTGCCCACCCACTTAAAAAAAAGCAAAGAAAAAAAAAGCAAATGCACCTTAATTTCCTATTGCATTTGTGACCTCATGAAAGATTAAGAACACAAGGGATTTCTCTATGCCAGCAGTGGGCAGTAGTTTTTGAGGGGAGGGGGGCATCTCACACATTTCTGAAGTGGTCGTGGGCTTTCCTGGAAGGGGTGGGGCCTCAAGTGGAGGGGCCAGGGGCAGGTGGCTTCCCATGCTCCCCCGCTCACAGACCCTGATTAGCCTAGAAGCTGAGGGGGGGCATGTGAAATCTTTGCCCCCATCTCTCAGAGACGTACCAACTCCCCTGGCCCCAGGTCTCAATTGGCCTGGGGTAGGGGCAGTGTCAGGGTGGCTGAGGGCTGGATCAACCAGCTTGGTGGGCTGAATCTGGCCCATGGAAGCTGTCTTGCCCACCTCTGAGGTAAGGGATTTGGGTGCAGGAGGGTGTGTGAGTTCTAGGAGGGGGGTTTGGGTGAAGAAGGCAGTTGTGACCTGGGGCACAGGATTGAAGTATAGGGGTTTGGATGGCAGAGGATTGAGGTTGTGACCTAGGGCAGGGAACTTAGGTGTAGGAGAGGGTGCAGGGCTTTGGGTTGTGCCCTAGGCAAGGAAGGGGCTGTGACCTAGGGCAGGGGACTTGGGTGCAGAAGGAGGTACAGGGGTTTGGGCTGTGACCTAGGGCCAGAGAGCATTGTGATCTGGGGCAGAGGCCTGGGCTGTAGGGTCTGGGATGGGGTATGGGCTCAGGATGGGGGCAGAGGGTTTGGCTGATGGGGGTAGGAGTGGGAGGAGGAAAAGAGCTAAGGGGGAGGGAGGGGCTGGGGTGCTAGAGGCAGGCTCTGACTGGGAAACTTACCTGTGAAACTCCTAGCCAGCAACCCAGCACATTTTTCCTGCAGGAGCCTGTCCCACCCCCACAAGGCTGCAGGGCCCTGTGCTCTGTGAATAGGAGATGGGGGGTGGGAAGGAGAGGGGAAGTGATGCTTCATGTGCTCTCTGTTTTTCAAACAGGCAGCTTCCATGAGCCAGAAACCAGCTAACGGAATTGTGCTGGGGCAGGAGCAGACATGAAGCAGACTCCCTCCCTCCCCTCCCCTCTGGGCTCACAGTCTGTGGAACATAAACAGCCTGGCAGCCACTTTTCTGAGCAGGGTGCAGGGGTGGACAAGTAGGGCAATCTGCCTGAGATTCCCCGCTGCACCCATGGGCTGGATCCAGTGGTTTGACCAGCCGGATGAGGCCCACGAAGGGTTTTTTTCCCAGGCCTGCTCTATGCTAAGATGATGAGTATTTAAGAATCTCACTGTGTCCCACATGGGACAGAGAAGACAGCTAATGGAAACCATTCACTACTAGGTGTTGAGCTGTAACATGGCCACAGTCAGTTGTACTTCAATGTCACTCTCATATAAGGGCGGTTCAGTGAACTGTGTGAAATGAATTGGCTACTTCAGTCTGTTTTCTAGTAGACAAGTATCCCGATCACAAAAGTTACTATTATATACATTTGGCATCCTACCGGCATCTTTGTTCAAGGATCAGCAGATAGCAAAGGATTAATTGGATATGAAAACTGAGCAACATTGTCTTTTCCCCTAACATGCCAGTGTTCTGGCATACTGACAAAACAGCATAGGGGAGCACGCATTGTGGCTATACAGACTGCACATGTTCTCAAAATAAATAATGGTTGGACCTCCTTGGTCTGGCACCCTCAGAACCTGAGTGGTCCCAAACCTGAGAGTTTGCTGGACCAGGGGAGGTCAAAACTCCCCTGCTGGCCGTCAGCCCCACTGTGGGCTCCACTCCTGTCCAGCAGGGCTCATGGCCGTTGTCTTCCCCCCGCCCCCAACACCTCTCTGCCACTGGGGTTGTTCCTTCCTGCCAGGCCAAGGCTCCTGGCTGCAGCTTCCCAGCACCCCAGATGTCAGCCTGACTGGGGCTCCCCTGCAGCTGAACTAGCTTGCAGCTTCCTGGCTGCCACTGGCTCATCTGGTAGCTTCCAGGCTACCACTAGTTCCTACGCAGCAAGGTCTGGGCCCTTGCTTCCCCGCAGCTGCTGGCCCCACTGCTGGCCCCACTGCAGCCGACACACCAGCCTTCATGCTGCTGGGCTCCCAGTGGGCCCCATTCCCAGCTGCCCGGACTCTCCGGTCAGCAACATCTGTGGTCCTTGCTGGTCTCCAGGCATAGAAATCCAACTTATTAAGAAACGTAGGATGAAAAAGGACCTTGTGAAGTTCTGCAAATTTGAATACACGTATCTTAGCATTTTTAAGATGTTCTTTCCCAAATTTCAGCATGCATTCCTTCCCCCTATTTGTCTTATCTGTTCGCCATTTATCTTTTTGGTAAATACTGAAGCTAAAATGTCATTAAATAGTTCAGCCTTCTTGATGTTTTCCACTATTAACTCTTCTTCTGCACTAAGTAGAAGTCACACACTTTCCTTCACCTTTCACATGCTCAATGGTTTTAAAGGATGTCTGTATTTATTTAAAGAATGTCTTTGTATTGCCTTTTATGTCCCTTGCAAGGTGTAATTAATTTTGTGCCTTAGCCTTTGTGGGTGCATCTACACTGGAGCCTGAGTTGCGGGACCCATCACACTCACAGGATCCTACAGCTCAGGTTTCACTCTGAATACAGGCATCTACACTGCAATTTTACAGCTTTATAGCCCAGTCAACTAACTGAGACCACCCACAGGGAGGGTTAGCTCAGTGGTTTGAGCATTGGCCTGCTAAACCCAAGGTTGTGAGCTCAATCCTTGAGGGGGCCACTTAGGGATCTGGGGCAAATACGTGAGGGATGGTACTTGGTCCTGCTGTGAGGGCAGGTAACTGGACTCAATGACCTCTCAAGGTTCCTTCCAGTTCCATGAGATAGGTATATCTCTATATATCATATTACAGGTTGTCCCTACATGCTAGTGCTATTTTTGTGTACTAATACTCAGCAATTTGTCCAGAATTCTACTTTTTGTAGGGTTCCTTTTTATTTTAAATTAATTAAAGTGCTCCTGATGGATCAAATAAAATTATAATAGAGTTTTGCACTCTGCCAGGGCTCTCATCTGTTATGGGTACCAAAAATATTAATGGAAAGTATGTGGACATTTTTACTATTATTAGTTACCTTGGACAGGTGTACAGGTAAAAAAAACCTTGGAAATATAAAACACATGCTTAATATTCAAGAAAAAGCCTGGATTGTGCATAACATTAGCGTTACTGTTGGAGATTAATTTTTCCTGTTATCGCGCCACACTAATAGGTGGAGTAAGTGCGGCCTTACAAGGGAGACTGATTTAAATATAGTCCTTGGAGCTATATTTCAAGACTTTATAGAAGGAAAACAAACACAAGAAGCTCATTTGAATCATTTTTTGGCCTTTTCTCATTTTATCAAATTGTCATCCTCATGAAAAAGCCTTGCATCTGTTCATATTGCATTGGTATTACAGAGACTTTGATTAACAAAGAAAAGAAAAGAAAAGAAAAGAAAAGAAAAGAAAAGAAAAGAAAAGAAAAGAAAAGAAAAGAAAAGAAAAGAAAAGAAAAGAAAAGAAAAGAAAAGAAAAGAAAAGAAAAGAAAAGAAAAGAAAAGAAAAGAAAAGAAAAGAAAAGAAAAGAAAAGAAAAGAAAAGAAAAGAAAAGAAAAGAAAAGAAAAAGGGGGTGAGACTGCTATGATTATGATCATAATTGTATCATGTTATATGACTACACGCTTTACAGGCAAATGAAATATATGGGGCCTAACTCCTGTACTACATCAATGGAAGAGTGGGCTCAGGTTCAAAGCATCTACCATTTAAGTCAGAGACAATGTAAGATTTACTAAAACAAAAGGAAAAACTATGTAGCACTTTAAAGACCAACAAGATGGTTTAATAGGTGATGAGCTTTCGTGGGCCAGAAGAGGGTTTAAACCATCTTGTTAGTCTTTAAAGTGCTATTAAACCATCTTGTTAGTCTTTAAAGTACTACAGGCAGTCCCCGGGTTACGTACAAGATAGGGACTGTAGGTTTGTTCTTAAGTTGAATCTGTATGTAAGTCGGAACTGGCGTCCAGATTCAGCTGCTGCTGAAACTGATCAGTTTCAACAGCG